GGCGTCTGTTCAACAAAGGCACAGTTCTTGCGAAAGAACTGTGTCTTTGTTGAACAGATGCCAACAAGGATGTTTTACACATTACTACAATCATAAACAATGCAGATCTGGATTTAAATGTTATATTTCTTACATAACATCAGAAAGAACATTTTTTGCCATTTATTACACTTATGCAACACCATACTAATATCTTGCTTGATCGGTTCTTGGGTTTTACTATCGCGAACATTAGTATTAAAAAAAATAAACACACATTGAATTTGTTTATAGTTCCACAAAGAAATCTTCCAGTAACTTCTCTGTTAGGCTTTTGGTTATCATTACAAATGTCGGACAAAGATGTGTGTACAGCACATTCCCCTCAAGGCCGGTCGAGATTCAGTTCAATTACAAGAAAATAAAGTCAAAAATGTAGAATAATGAGTTAGCTCATCCATAACTAGCGTCCGAGAACACTCTTTCAATTCTTACACATGAATAGAATCAGTTATGGAGTTTCGGGAAATTGTCGTATGGGATGTTTTCGATGTCGCTTTACATAAATTAATATATATATATATATATATATATATATATATATATATGAGGGAGTTCTGAAAAGTTCTCAGTCTGGTGTAAGTTCAAAATTGTAAGCAAACAACTAAATCACTTTCGATATGATTTTACATACACACACACATTTCCTAGTATATGTGTTATAATTTATGTCTGCAGATGTGTGTACGTTACGGTGAGCATTACACTTATTCTCCCTCTCGCACAGACGCACAGAGAGAGAAAACAAGTGAGCGAGAGCCGAAGAGTCAGATATATAAAAACATAAATTTATAACATCTATATTAGCAAAATTAATGACCAAGTTGAAAACCATTTTTGTGTGATACGTTTCGCCTCTTGAGGACTTCATCGGACTTGAGTGAAACTTCCGTTGTTGTAACTGCATATAGACATGAAGGGGAGGGAGAAGTTAAAATTTTAAACTTTTCATTTTTTTAATTTTTATTTAAAAAAAAAATGTATTTGGATATACATTCCAGCCAATATCATTTAGATTCTTTTTGCTTTCATCGCTTTTGTTATTGAGCGTTCCATATTGTGATAATAATTATATAATTATATAATTATATAATTATATAATAATTATATAATTGAGCGTTCCATATTGTGATAATAGATAATCTGAGATAAAAGAATGTGCGACACTTAATATCCAAAGTAATAAAAACTAAAAGAAACTAAACGATGACCGCCAAACACTTCTTAGTACTCTATTTACATTATTCGGCCTATTGTCCTTATATCTGTCGCCATGTTTATCACAGCGTTTCGGCTGTTGGAATGTCGAAGCGAGGGTAGACTGTTCTAGTTCAACGTGTCATGTCTACTCTCCCTCTCAAATTTCTCCACCGCCTTAACAAGGTATTGAACTCACACTCTTTGGGCCCTGTCACTGGATCTAACTAACGCCTTTATCCCCTGTGCCATGTATCCTTGAGGACATCTGTGTATGAATTTCTGAATAAGCAATCGTTTTTACCAGTCCTCATATTTCAATTTTTGCTGTTATCATTGCATGTTTTACCCCACGGCCAGAACGTTGTGATAAACATGGCGAAAAATATGAGGACAATAGTCCGAATAATGTAAATAGTGTATATAATATAGCATCTCAGAAATATAAACAGATACATCTTAATACTGCAATAATGTGTGATACTTAAGGCTGAAAAAATATCTAAATAACAATGAAAAGTAAAGAAAAAAAAAGAAAACCAGGTTGACTTTAGTTCAAATCTCATTTCTAAACGATATGTTTTCATTAAACCGAAACGTCCAACTGCATTGCGCGAATGGCGTTATTTTTTCCCGCTGATATAAATTTTTCAATTGTGAAAAATGTTTATCAGCAGGAAAAAACGGCATTCACGCAAAGCAATTGAACGCTTCGTTTTAATGAAAACATATCGTTTAGAAATTTTTTTTTCTGTTGGGGAATTGGAGAAATATATCAAAGTAGAATCTTTCTAAATTACCTTTCATATATTAGTTTTAGTGGATTCGCTTATTTGAATAGAAACTCCGTTTATTTTTAAACTGTATATATTCTCGTCTATCGGCCTAAATAATCGATAAAACTTTACAAAATTACATGCTCTCTGGTATGATTCGAACCTGCGTTCTGTAGGGAAAACGGTCATTTGATCTGACGTACTTTGACCTGTCGATAACGAAAAGCGTCGATGGCTAAGCAAAGTCTGAATAGTGGCATTAAACACACGTTGTTCTCCGAACTCGAAATAAACGTATGTACTCAGTTTCGTATTCTTGCGTAAACAAAGCGATTTCTACAGAAAGGAATGCTTTTTATTGAGTAATCATTCAGATTTTTTTTACATAAACGCTATTTTATTTTTAGTGCGTAGTTTGATGTAAGTAGACTCTCCTCTCATTTATTAAACAATATTTCTCAAAATGTGTAATTGGGCAGCAATGCCTCTTTTATGGAAGTTTCGTTAAAAATCACTGACAAGGTACTCTAGTTAAGTTTTTATATAATCGTTCATGGGTTCTTATAACTCTTTTATTTTCGGGACATAAATTATATAAAAATTATCCGAATGTTTTATGTATCCAAGTGCTTTCGTCTGTAATTTTAGCCATTATCATGGCTGAATTTTATTCATCTTTTAACTGAATATATGGAGTGTTTTATATAGGTACCAAGAGATATTGGAACATTTATTTCCCAAACCCGGTTTAGGACATTATGGCCGTTCTCATAGTTGATATCATTGAGTGTTGGTATTTCGTTTTTTATTAACAATGTTTCCATTATTTTTCGCCTTTTTTTTCATGTAGATAATGCTGTTATATTAGTATTATCAACGAATATGTTGCGGATAGAGTCAAATGAAATATTATATATATATATATATATATATATATATATATATATATATATATATATATTGTCATGCACAGACAGACTGTTTCGCTGTATCACACCTCATCAGTGTGGCTAGACCTTCGCTTGATATAGCTAGAATTAAAAACCGACTGAATTGGCGTCAGTAGGGGATTTTACCACTGAGCCTTTGGCACACGGCAGGAATGAAAGGGAATTCAAGAGTATTTATTTTTAGATAAACACAGGGTGACTGAGAGAACTTGTTTCGATTTACCGAAGAGTCTTGCATTATATATATATATATATATATATATATATATATATATATATATATATATATATATATAGAGAGAGAGAGAGAGAGAGAGAGTGGGGGGAATGAATATTCGTACACATGAAAATTGTATTTTTATAAATATAAATGCCTTAAATAAAACAAATCTCGGCAGATTTTATGTATAAAGACACATACTAATAAAATAATAATAAACTTAATTAATTCTTATTCTAACAGAAATGAATGCATTTTTTAAATTCTAACTGGTGAAAAAAGTATTCCTACAAATCAATTATTAGAATAAAATGATCAATTAATTATAAAAAAATGTATATTCTAGAATGTGCCAGTAATGTTATCTGTAATTATAGTTAACGCTATTAGCCATTATCAGAGCATTCTGCAATTTCTAGTCTTACGAGAAGGTTCTAATAATGCCTAAAGGTAAAGAATTGACTATTTCACAAAAACAACACATTTTGTCTCTTTGGAAAGATGGGAACAGTTACAGAATAATTTCTAACAACCTGAATATTCCTTTTACTACATTTGCTTCGTTCATTGCAAGGTTTAAAACTCGTAATAGCGTCGAAAACAAAAAAAAAGAACAGGTGCTCCGAGGAAGATTTCTCTAAGATAAGCAAGGATATTAGGACGCCAGATCCAACAAAATCCACAGGTTACACGAGAAGAGCTGCAGGAACATCTGCGTGCATTAGGGACTAACGTAACCAAGCGTACAATAAGTAATGAACTACACAAAAACAGTCTGAAATCACGCATCCCAAGGAAGACTCCACTCCTCTTGAAACGACACAGAGATGCTAGGCTAAAATTAGTTAGAGAGCATAAGGATAAAGAATATTCGTTTTGGGAAAAGTACTATGGACAGATGAAACTGAAATAGAGTTTTTTGGTCATAATTATCGAAATCATGTGTGGAGGAAGGACGGTGAAGCCTACTTACCAAAGAACACGTTGCCAACTGTAAAGTTTGGTGGTGGTAGTATCAAGATCTGGGGCTGTTTTTCTGCAGAAGTTGTTGGCAGAATATCAATAATAGATGGCAAGATGAATGACCAAAGATACCAGAAAATCCTGCAAGACAATTCAATGCGTTCTGTTGAGAGACTTCGGCTACCTCCTGATTGAGATTTCCAACTGGATAATGATCCTAAGCATACCGCTAGATCTACAAGGAAATGATTAGCTGAAAGTAACGTTGATGTCTTGCAATGGTCAAGTCAGTCCCCAGACTTGAACCCAATCAAGAATTTATGGCGATATTTGAAAATTCAAATTGGGAAAAGAGCACCAACAAATATCAAGAATTTGAAGACAATATGCCAAGAAGAATGGGACAAAATACCACTCAATGCGTGCAAATCATTAGTTGAGACGTAAAGGAATAGACTGGTAGCTGTTGAACTCAATAAAGGATATTCCACAAAGTACTAAATTAAGTTAATATGCTTTTTTTTTGTACGAATACATTTTCATCAGTTAAAACGAAAAAAATACATTAATTTCTGTTAGAATAAGAATTAATTAAGTTTATTACTATTTTTTAATAAAATGTATCTTTACACATGAAACGTATCAAAATTTGTTTTAGTTAAGGCTTTTTACATTTATATATATATTTATTATATATATATATATATATATATATATATATATATATATATATATATATATATCTATACATACACAAAGATAGTGGGGAGATAGAAACAATTATATGTTGTTTCCCAGTTTCAAGCCTCAAGCGAAGTTTCACGTGTGTGCGCAAATATGTGTGCATATTTGTTTCTATGTGTTATTGTGAGCTGGTGAAATGAAGGGAAAAAGAAAAAGAACGAGAGAGAGAAGAGAGAGAGAGAGAGAGAGAGAGAGAGAGAAAGGTCTGTTTTTACATCAATAGATGGGATACTAAGGCTTTACTGTAAGTTCAGTTGTTAATATCTAGAAGTGAAAGACTTGGAAGGCTGATACTATCAGCAGTCAGTTGCGAGAGAAAGTCTGACGGTTTTACTTCACACATAATCATTTTCCCTCTTTTTTCTATGTGTCACGTCCCTTCAGTACATTGGTGAGCATGTCTCGCTACGACTTCCTACCCCTTGGGGCGCTTTACAGTTTTGTTCTCCCTTTGCACCATTCATTCACGCAAGCTCTTCGGGTAGTGGCTCGCTACTTTCTATTTTGTTAACCTTCAATATACCACGTGATGTTTTAGTTTTGTAAGCCCCCTTTCCTCATTATATGTCCAAGAGATTCCATATGTCTTTTCCCGATACTGAATAGACATTTTCATTCAGTTGCCATTTTCTTTTAGACTTTCGCGTTGTTTAATCACCCCGTCCATGGAATTTTCAGGCAAACTTCTGTAAAACCACATTTCTGCTGCCTAAACTTTTCTTCTCGTTGCTGGTAAGATTAGCCAACATTCATTGAATAAGAGGATCGATAACACAGTAATCGAACCCTCTCTTCTGAACTTTTTTCTGAGTATCTTGTGGAATGCTCCTTTTAGAGATTCTAGTAATATGCGCGTCCGGACTTCGAGGTCGCATTTTTCATCGTTTGCTGAAACACTTCCCAAATATTTAAACTTCTGCACATTGTTGATATGTCTAAATGAGTGCCTCTGCTTTCTTTTTAACTCAATACTCGATCAATCCGTTTTTTCTTTTTTTTTGAAGAGGTTATCAACATTCTTCAAAATGAAAGAGTTTCGAGATAAGAATTTGTGGCATCTTTTCTTAACTTCTATATTGGAAATCATATACACAACATCAAAAACCTCTTTCATCACGATTTAATAATCGTTAACATTTAAGCCTTGTCGGCAATTTCCCGCAACTTTTCATGTTTTAATATCGACGTAGATGCTTGAATGAAAACAATTCAAAGCGAACAGGATGCCTGATTGAAAAGACGCCACCTTGGGGTAATACCTATCTATCTATCTATCTATCTATCTATCTATCTATATATATATATATATATATATATATACATATATTACAATCTTAAGAATAACTATCAAAATTTATTTAAAAAAGAAATGAAAAATGTTCTTCAGATATTCCTGCATTTCAGTCAGGATACTGTATTTTCTTTCCTAGTCGTAACCTGAAAGCCATTATTGCCCCTCTAATATCCTTAAAAGACCAAATGATCACCTCAGTGTAACACCCATTTCCGTAAGATGATATGACAGACCCAGCAGGTTAATCCGAAGCTTTCCAAAAGCTTGGGTAAATGTAACCAGGAATCTAACTACTTAAAGATCTCGGTAGACACGCATTATGTTACCGCGATAAAAGATCGACATTTAGCGAAAGGATTTTTCTTTCAAACATATCCAATGCTGGATGATTCTCGATTGATATTCTCAGAGACGGGTAGGTGAAATCTCCACACGATGGAAATCGTAGCCATGCATGACTGACAGTGAAAAGTCGGTAATGAAAGAACTGATTTTCAAAAGGAAGACGAATAAGGAACCAGGAATAATTTAATATGAACATACATCGTTAGAAATAAGTGAGATGCTTTCTGTCATATGCATAAGAATTAATCTTAGTAATAGTAATTGTTCAAAATAATTATTTATATTGTTTATACTGAGACTAATATTCACATCGTCGTTGTTATTATCATACGGTTTCGGCTGTTGTGTACTTCGGTCACCATAGCTTTGTCTGTCGATCTGGGTAACATTCACGGATTTCAAACTGAACTCTCTATTAATGTAGGGTCCATGTCTAAGGATAGCTAGATGCTTTCCAGTCGATATTTAATCTTCAAAGATTTAAATGCAATCTAAATCTCTATCTATTGTGTTAAATTGTAGGTGAATGCACTTTCTTCCTCCAGGACAGAAAATTAGACAGTTAGAGGAGGCGAAAACCATAGTGAATAAAAAATCATCCTGGAATGATATATATATATATATATATATATATATATATATATATATATATATATATATATATGTGTGTGTGTGTCCGACCCTTAGCTATGATTAATTAATGATGAACATGCCTTTTTCGTTTTTGCTCAATTTCATCACGATTCTTCTGTTATGATTGGAGAGTCATTATACATTCTTATTGATAAAAGTAGAGTCCAGTAATTTTATAAAAACCTTGTCGAATTCCAGTAAGATATCTTCAATCTTTTCTAAGATACAACAGTTTAGAACTTAAACTAAAAACTGAACAATTTTGTTGCTGCATAATTTGGATAATTTGCGGTTCCATCCGGTAGGTAGGCTGCGCAATTTAATCTAACTTTTATTGATATGATTGGTTCCATTGTATATGATGAAAATATTCCTCATACGATTACACAACCGCTACCACTCTTTACCTGAAACGTCAATTCAAGCCAGAATGAATCGCTACTTTCATAATGTTTCCTCCGAATGTTGGCTCTTCTATAAAAATGGCGCAGCAGATATCAAGACACGTCACACCAGTCAAAGTTTTTCCAATCTTCTATTTTCCAACCCTTGTTATCTTTAGCGAATTTTAGCTTCAGTTCGTTCTTCGTATTTCATAGGAAAGTGAACACTACTTGAAACTACTGTTCCTTTTATATCAGTGTGCACCCGTCTACTCCGTCAAAGGATTTTCGGCCAATAGAATTTCTACTCATACCATTTTTACTTTCAGTTCTTACCATTCCCTGGAAACAGTTGGGAATGGTTGTTAGCGAAAATCGTATTTGGTCGGCTGTTTTTGAAATGTTCAGCTCAACCCGTCGAGCCTCAACGAATATGTCACGTCCAAAGGTCTTTTGTTCCTAAGCGAATTTGCCCCAAAGAAGGCAGTAAAGCCACTCAGACACAAGGGTTACTGGGTGTGGGAAAGTTAGAAATTCAGAAACATTACTAATGGCGAGGACAATAGAAGAGTAATCAAGAAGACAGTACATAACGATTGACATTGAATTTGATTTGATTTTTTTTACTAGAAAGCATGGAGCTAGAAGGTTGTTCCACACGCGGGAAACACATATAAAGAAACTGTTAGCATAGAACTTAGTTACATCTAGCCACTTCAACGGTAAATTCATGAGACCTTGTTGCTAGTTAAATCCATCAGTTATTCAGGGCCATACATGATACACGTTTGGGTGATCATGGAACTTTCGATTCCTGATTGAGTAGGCAGAAGATTTTCTTACAGTAGGTTGTTATTTCTTTTCGTAGTAGATTGGTTGCCAACCAAGGCTGTAGGACCCAGTTGGTTCTGCTATTCACCGGTAGTTGGGAGGAGGAGAGATGGATTCATACCTTCCCCAAGGTTATTTGTGCGTAATGAGTGTAAAGAACTCGACTGGAATTCGAACTCGGAACTCAGAGTTATCCTTCCAAACCGATATCTGTTACAACACAACGCACATCCGAAGTGCCATATGTGATACACACTTGCGCGATCATGTCTAGTACTGAGGTTAAATTCATAATGTCTAGGTACCATTGCTCATCCGAACAATTACCATAAAAGGGTTTATGGAAAAGGCACAGTAAAGAAACATCACGGCGGTGGGAAAGTGACTGAAGCCGAGGCTCCAAGTCAAATCATTTGCAAAAAAGAATTCTTCCCCGTATTATTGTATAAAAGGAAATTCTGCATGCGGCCATGGAAAGGCTTAAACGCCGAATCCATTAAATGGTTGCCGCGTCATTGTCTAATACGAAATTCCTATTAGAGGGAATTTTACTTAACTGAGGGAAAATGTCGGTGTTTCAGCGTGATGTGAATATAAGCCTTAAGTGTCTAGAGAGCGATCCATATATCCTAATACATGGATCTCTCTCTAGACACTTAAGGCTTATATTCACATCACGTTGAAACACCGCTGCTCGCAAGATAAACAATGTCGAGTCTGGTCAGTACCTATATAGATAACTGCTAAGGAATACCACTTGTTATAAGCTTGGATGTGCGGATGGTGTAATGAATAATGGCTAGGAATTGTTCACCAGTTTCCCGAGTTCTAATTCCTGCTGGATTCGTTATAATCAATTATGCGCAAATATCTTTGGGAAACTTATGAATCCATATCGTCTCACCCCACCAACTATGGGCCAATTGGTAAAGATTTGTATCACAAAAACATTATTACGCCCCAATATATATATATATATATATATATATATATATATATATATATATATATATATATATTGCATACTAATTATATGTTCTGACTTTAAATATTCTTGTAAGATTAACCTAGAACACTAAACATCAATTAAAGTTACACTAGTACTAATCATGGGTATATCATACCCGATTTTGAAAATATCAAAAACAATATTAAATATAAATCTTTATTTGAAATATTTTACATCCAGGCACTTCAGACTTTGTACTTTGAATTAAAATTAATAGTAACTGAAAAACATATTATTATGTAAGAAAATTAGGTACTGAAAATTGTAATTACAAATAGGAAAATTTGCGCTGGGTACGATATACCCATGGTTAGTTTTCTCGGGTTAATATGCCGCAGAAAACAAATCAATCCATTAATGAAATACTGATTAGCTACACAGCCATCAATTTATATTTATGTTCATTATCTGGAATATGAATCTATAGAAACTACCGTGGCTACAAAATGAGGGGTCCTTTTATATAGTGGTTGTAATAAAAAAAATGTATCCCCTAATTTATGTCCATATTAAAATTTTATGCTTTTTTGTTAAATTCGGATTAGCTAGGAATACACCTTTTCTCCCCCAATCTATAGGTTAATTAGTTAGACTTGTATCACTAAATCATTATTATCTAAAAAAATTATTACAAGCTACAAATATTTCTATCTTGTAATAACCTGCAAAGGGTTGGTAAGCCATTTTTCCTACTAAACGAACCAATCAAT